TAAATGTTGTTTATTTCAAATAGCCTAATCAAATACGTCGTTTGATTTCTTGACTGCTATTAAAGTGGTCCCATATTGGCTGTTGATCCGAGCAAAATGAAGTCTTTGACAACCTCACTCTTTCCTTCATTTATATGAATGTTATTTATTGGTCCAGTGGTGAGAATTTTTGTTTTCTTTACATTGAGGTGCAATCCATACTGAAGGCTGTAGTCTTTGATCTTCTTCAGTAAGTATTTTAAGTTCTCTTCACTTTCAGCAAGCAAGATTGTATCATCTGCATATCACAGGTTGTTAATGAGTCTTCCTCAAATCCTAGTGCCATGTTTTTCTCCTTGTAATCAGTTTATGTGCTCAGCATGCAGATTGAGTAAGTATGGTGAAGGAATACAACGCTGGTGCACACCTTTCCTAATTTTAAACCATTCGGTGTTTCCTTATTCTATTCAAACAAGTGCCTCTTACTTGGTCTGAAATTCTCCTAAATATTACCAAACCTATTAAGGCAATGAGTTACTGGACCTAGGGGCTCAGGACTCTAGTTTCAGGGGATGTCATGGTCCATTGGCACACCATAGTCCACAAAGACAATGTTCTTCATCCTACTTTGTTGAGTAGCGTCTGGGATCTTGAAAGCTCATGAGCGGCTGTCTAAGGTGCAGTTATTTGGTCTCTCCATGTATGGAAGAAAGGAGAGTGACGAGAATTGAAGAGACTGGGAATCAGTTAGTCCAGTAGACTCAAGGAACACGAGAACATCTGTCTCCATGACTCAGAGACCAGAAGAACTAGATGGTGCCCAGCTTCCTCTACCAACTGCTCTGAAAGGGATCACATTAGAATGTCCCTGATAGAGTGGGAGAAAATGTGGAGCAAAACTCAAAATTATCTTTAAAAAAGAAAAAGGAGACTGGTTTACGGGTCAGAAAGAGACTGGGGGGACCTGAGTCTATGGCCCTCTACCACCTTCCAGGCCTGGAAAGGAATTCACTCTCATGACCCAATCTTCAGCCAAGCAACATAGAGACTTACTGAGGGCAGGGGGAGGGGACGACAACACTAGTAATGTATGCTCACCATGGAATGGCCAATCATTCAAAAACAAAAGGGCAACATTTTCCTAACGAAGAAGTTGAGAAGGGATGGAAAGGTGGTGGAATGCAAATAAAAAATATTTTAAAAAAAAAGAGAGCGAGAGAGAAAAAAATTACCCTCCAAGGACTGCAGGAAGCTGCTTTAGTGGAAATCATGTGTCCCACCTAGGATCAACTGACACCCAATAGCTGAATGATGCTGAGGACAGAGGCTCCACCCCCTTGGCTCAGTTTGGGCATTTTAAAAGAATCTCTCAGTTCCAGAGCTTCCCCATAGGTCATCTGAGACTTCGGTGGTCTGTCAATCATAGCTCAAACCCTTCCTCTCAGGGATGACTTGTCTCCATGCTTTACAGCTACTGTTCCCAGAAATGTTTGTTGTTAGGTACAATCGAGTTGGTTCAGATTCAAGTAAAACAGTAAGAAACACTGTCTCATCTGGGCCATCCTCACAATTGTTATATTTCAACCCATTGGTGCAGCCACTGTGTCCAGCCATCTTCCTGTTATTTGCTGACCATCCACTTTACTAAGTATGATGTCCTTTTTCAGGGACTGGTCCCTCCTGATAACAGGCCCAAAGTATGTGAGAGGAAGTCTCTCCATCCTCATCTCCAAGGAGAACTCTGAGATAGATTTGTTCATACTTCTGGTAATCCATGATGCTTTCAATATTCTTCGCTAATCCCATAATTCAAAGGCATCAATTCCTCTTCAGTCTTTTTTATTTATTGTCCAGTTCTCTTATGAATATAAGGCAACTGAAAATACCATCCATCACTTGGGTCAGGTGCAGCTTAGCTCTCAAAGTAACATTTCTGCTTTTTAAAGAGTTCTTTGGCAGCAGATTTGCGTGGTTTCCTGCATCACAGTGACACACAAGCCACCACAGACTGACAGATGACTGGTGTTCCCTTTATTGGGTTTTCGAGACTAAACATCTTTAAGGGAACAGAAAGCCTCATCTTTCTTTCTCGGTGCAGCTGGTGGTGAGTTTGAATGACCAAGCTTGTGGTTAGCAGCCTAAGCTAACTCGCAGTGCCACTACGGCTCCTTTTAATCATATGAGGGGCTTCATTCAAATAGTTTGTGGGAAATTTTCATTATCTTTTCATTCCATTTTTCCACAATTTTTTTTTTTGTAGAACTTCCTCCTCGTAAAGGCTATTGGGAGAATTCAGAAGCCAGGACTTGGAAAGCGTTCAGAAAACACTTAGTAACTGAGGCTGGGAGGAGGGTGGGAGAAGATCGTCCCCTAAACCCCATCCTTCCGCTCCTTCCTCAACTCCTTGAATCGTCTCTCAGCTGTGCTGTGTGAACAGCAATCCTCCAAATTTGAAAACTTTGGGATCAAAAGCTGCGGGCAGAAGTATATTTTGGCATGAGATGGAAGGGAGGGAGGGATGTCCACCACGTTCATGTTCAGTTTTTTCTAGACAGCCTTCTCAGATCAGGGTTTTGAGAGTCAACTATACCCCAGGAGGGAGGTTGTTTCTTCTTTAGGGGGGTTTCTTGAAGGTTAAGACTTCGCTAGCTCAGAGTCTTAACCAAACCAAAACCATTCTTGAATGGATTCGAACTCCTAGCCACCCTATAGGACAGAACAGAATGCCCCCTTAGGGGGCAGTGTTCAAGGCTGGTGTGGCACTGTGGGTTAATGCGCTGGATTGTGTTGTCAGTTTGAATTGCAAGGTCAGTGGTTCAAGCTCACCAGCCGCTCCTCAGAAACCCTACACAGGGTCACTATGAGTCAGAACCAACTCCACCACACTTAACAACAACAATAACTATCTTGAAGGGAGCAAACGGCCACATTTTCCTCCCATGGAGGGCTGGTGGGTTCCAACCATTGACTTTCGGGGTTAGCAGCTGAGCTTATAAGCCTAGTACCTTAGAGCTCCTTACCCTGAGACTTAGGAATTGAATTTTCTCTAGAACTTTCCCCTCACACCCTTTCTGGGGTTTCGAGGAACAGAGAGATGAGAGGGGGTCTCAGCAAAGAAAAGTGAGGCTTGGAGTGAAGAGGGAGGAAACTCAGAATAGGGGGACTGAGAAAGGAGAGTGGCTTTGGAGAGGGGGGAATCAGGGAGGAGTTGGGGTCCCGAGGTCTGTTTGCTGCTCACTCCAATAGTGGCCCCACTAGGGAGGTATAGGGGGTGCAGGTTTTCAGAAGGATGACACCAGAATGATTGTCTATAAAATTGTTTTAGCAGAAATTTATTATTTTTTATAAAAAGATCCCTGAAGTTAGTTATAACAACAAAAGTGTTTTTTCGTAAGCCCAGCTTACATGTCTCAGTATACCTACAAGGCTAAATCCTATGCTTCCTGACTTTCTGAACCCTCCAACATATCCCTGTCAGAACTCTCTTTGTTACCCAATTACACAGTTTCATCCGCACACGCTCCTGTTTCTGTTGCTGATGGTGATGGATTTTCTGGTGTTTTAGTTACAATAGTGTGGCAATTAGTATTTGTGAACTACATCAATAACTTTTTTTTTTGGAGAACCAAGTCATAATTAAAGGAAAAGAAGGAGAAAAACAAAAGAAAAGGCCTCTGCTCACTTGCTACTAATGTAAGTAACATTGTTGCAATTCAGTGTAGAGAGATTTGACAAAAACAATTTTGTTGTTAGTATTCACATCATCTAAGAAATAGTACATTGAAGCAATTTACAATTACACTGATCACATTCTATCCTATGGCTAAAACTGATAATACACATTATTGAGGGTTCTGTACATTTTGGTTGTAGTTGAGGTCCCTGAGGGGATAAAGCCATGAGTCACCACCTCCGGTGACACCCACCCCAGGGATGTCACTGTATCCTCAGCACCCCCTGCCCACTCCTGCCACATCAGGGAGAACTGAGAGGTTAATGGGAGGCACACAGGTAGAGTCACTCTATCTGGGTGTCCTTTGGAGTAACCCCAATGTCCACCCACCAATTCTACTGCAGCATGGGTCCCCTGGCGAGCTGGGGCTGGAGTGAGAGTGACCTGGGCCGGGCACTGAGGCGAGGCTGCAGCCGCCGGAGCACCGCCCGGCGGAAGAGGATGTATACCCAGGGGTCCAAGATCTGGTTCCAGGTGGCCACACGCAGGTAGATGAGGAGTTGCTTCTCAGTGGCTCGGGGCAGCTGTCCAGTGGGGCTAATGGTGGGTGGGGTCCGCAACACTGTCTGAGCAATGAAGACCTGCCGAGAGATTGTGGTTAGCCAGGGGTCAGCCTGCCCCTTTCCTGGCCAAGTCAGGTTGTCCCCAGAGTGAGTGTTACTGCCTTTCTGTGCGGCATCAGGAGAATTGTCTGATCTCTCTGACTTTCAGCTGACATGTGCCTAAAAGAGGAGATTCCTTGGAAATCTCCAACCAAATATACGCCTTGAAAGACAAGCCACATACAATAGTGAATAATTGCTATCAGGACTGACTGTGAGGGTCGGAAATGCAAAGGTAGATGCTTTGTAACAAAAGGAGGGGAGTGATTGATTTTGCAGTCCAGGATGGAGGTCCCTGGGGCCATCAAGTGAGAAGAGTGGAGTGTGGGACCCTACCCAGAGAATCAGTGACACCAGATATGGAGGCAGAGATGATGACTTGGACAGATAGAGCGGCTGGGGACACTGAACTCAGGGAGGGAGAGGGGCTGTGTGCTGACAGCCAGGGGGGCCGGCCTGTGGGGTGTACCCTTTGGTTGTTTGATGTTGCATGGAGGGGATTGTAATCATTGCAATGAAACGAAATACGATGGGTTGATTTTAAACTTGTTTTTTTCCCTTTTAACCCCCCTTATTTCCCATTAAAACTTTAAAAACGAAACAAGCCACAGACTAGCTAACTGCTAAAGAATGTCTGTCTTGAGCAGTGTGCTCTTTTAAGAGCTCTTAATGGGGTCAAATTGACAACGGTAACTCTTAGTTCATGTTAACTGGGGAGGACCAAGTCAAAGAAGGAGGTGATTGAGAATGATTGTCCAACTAAAGGAACGTCATCAATGTCCCTGAATTGTACATGAACAAATTGTTGAACTGGTGCATGATCTGATGTGCATATTCTCAACAGCAACAAAAATAAAATAGATTAAAAAAAGAACACACTCCTCTTGCTCTTCTCTTGAAATGACTAAACATGATGATATCACTGTTCAAAACAAACAAAAAAACAACCTAAATTCCAAACTTGATTTCACGGTGAGCCCTAGTGTTACGGAACTGCGCTCCCTAGGGTTCTCAAGGGTCTTTACAGAAGCAGATTGCCAGGTCTTTCTTCCGAGGTGCAGCTGGATGGATTCAAATCACCAAGTTTTCAGTGAGTAGCTGAGCACACACTGTGTCATCCACAGACCTTAAGAATGATCAATGCTGTCACTATTATACCTGGTAGGTTCGTTTATTTTCTTTAAAAACATTTGTGTGTGTTTTTTCTTCACGTACTGGGGTGATGTTGGAGACACATGGGTGGCCAAGAAAGAAGCAGCTGTCATCACAGACCCACAAGTCAGTCAGGGAGATGGACATGTGACCAGGTTGTCACAGTCCAGGTGAGTGGAGCTGCGAAGGAAGCAACTGGAGTCAACCAGCCGAGTTTGGAGGGAGAGTCAGTGACTTTTCTTCTGAGAGTCACAGGGAGCCACATTGTTGTTAGGTACCACTGAGTCAGTTCAGACTCATAAGGGCCCCATGGACAAAAGAACAATACATTGCCCAGTCCTGCGCCACCCCCCAGATCGTTGCTCTGTTTGAGCCCACTGTTGTAGCCACTGTACCAACCCGTCTCATTGGGGGTCTTCCCCTTTTTCTGTTTACCCTCTACTTTACCAAGCATAATGTCTTTCTCCAGGGGCTCCCGGACGACACGACCAAATATGTGAGATGAAATCTTGCCATCTTTGCTTCTAAGGAGCAGAAATTCTGGCTGTACTTCCAAGACACGTTTATTTGTTCTTCTGGTAGCCCATGGTACTGTTAATATTCTCCTCCAACACCATAATTCAAATGCATCAATTCTTCTACTGTCTTCCTTATTCACTGTCCAGCTTTCACATGCATATGAGGTGATTGAAAATATCATGGCTTGGGTGGGGCACATCTGAGCCTTCCATGTGACAACTTTGCTCTTTAAAGAGGTCTTGTGCAGATTTGTCCAGTGCAATAATACATAACTTGATTTGACTGTTACTTTCATGGGTGTTGATCATGGATCAAATTAAAATGAAATCCTTGACAACTTCATTCTTTTCTCAGATTATCAAGAATGTTGTTCATTGATCCAGTAGAGTTATGGGAGAATCAGGTTGGTTTACCACCTGTTTTTTGTTTCGTATTTTCTTGCTAAGAATGTTCTTACATTTTTTAAAAGAGTTGGAGAGAACTGCAAATCAGCATAATTATTTTGTGACCCATGAAAATGACACGAATTCAACTTTCAGGGTGCGGAGACAAAGTTTCTCTTGCTGAAGGATAAGCACCGGACGGCTAACCTCGGGGTCGGCGGTTTAAACCCACCTGCTGCTCCCCGGAAACCCTACACAGGGTGGCTATGAGCCAGAATTAACGGCACTCAACACATCATAAAGTTTGGTTGGCACATGGCATTACTTCCTGGGAATCTCTGGAGATCGGCCGGCCAGCAAAGCCAAACGCATTTACTCTCTGCCCTTTATGGATAAGGACTGGTGACCTGTGTCCAGAGCAGGGCGGGGGTTCCATCTGATCTGGGGGTTGCAGGAAACTAAAGCCAGAGCATGGGAAAGGAGAAAGGGGCCCTGATGGCAAGGATGCGCATGCGCGAGTCTGCAGGGCAGCGGGATCAGGGATGAGTGAGCCTGGAGCATCCCTGCTTGTATACGGGGCGGTTGGTTATAGGATGGAGCTTCTGGCTGGGAAATGGGCTGCCGTCCTGTCCCTGGAAGTCCTTCCCAGACCCGGGCTCAGTCAGCCCACTGTCTGATTGATTCTTACTGTATAGGACAGAGTCAGATGGTTCCCTTAGGCTCTCTGAAACTGTAAATCTTTACGAGGACAGAATCATCGTTCTCCTGCGGGGCGGCTGGTGGATTTGAACTGCTGACTTTTTGGTTAGCAGCCTTGCACTTAACCCATTGCGCCACCAGAGATCCTATAGTGTCCGTGGTGTTTCCATATTCGTGTACTATTGTTATTTATTAAGTACGTGCCCTGGGCCAATCCAATCCATCCACTTACCCGCTATTTGTCTTCACCTGGTCCATCCTCAACACCGCTCACCCTCCCACTGTCCCTTACCCCCTATCGCCAAGGCAGTTCCCCTGATAGCTGCCAGAGGGCGTCGGTGAGCACCTCAGTCAGGCCAGTCCCTCCTCTGCCTGCAGCCCTCCAGGGCTCTTATGACCCTCAGGTCCACAGGGCTCTACCCACCCTGTCCCATTCCCTCTGTGCTCTCCTCTCCTCCCCTTTTCCTCTTGCTTACTATGCCCCAACCACAAGGAGCAGCTGGTAGGTTTAAACCACAGACCTGCAGGTTAGCAGTCCAGTGCTTATCCTAAAGCAAGGACTCGCCCTGCCTCAGGATCTTTGCACAGGCTGTTTCTTCTGCCTGCAATGCTCAAATTACCCACTGCTGGATAAGGCTACCACAGAGTCCCCCGGTGAACTCCTACACAGCTTTCAATGCCCCAGCTCAAAAACCCCCTCCTTAATGACCAGAACTACTACTATTATTACTCACCAGCAGTGGCATCCAGCAGACACTGCCCACCACCATGATGCCCATGAGCTGAACCATCATCTCGACCTCACAGTCCCGGGGACGCTGCTGGGCTGCCTCCCGCCCATGGTAGACATGGCACAGCGTGGCCACGCTGATGGTGTTGAGCAGAAATGACAGGCCGACAGAGAGGCTGCCGAGGAGCGCAAACAGCAGGCCAAAGGCCACGTCACCTGGCTCCCCACCCAGCGTGAGGAAGCACCAGGAGCCGGGGAACTGCACGGTGTAGCGACCCATGCCCAGCATTGGTAGCATGCCCAGGGCCAGCGCGGTGGCCCACACCAGCCCCACCGTGGCCCAGGCCCGGCGCTGTGAGGCTAGGGCCGGGCGTGAGAAGGGCCGCGTGATGCCCAGGTAACGCTCCGAGGCCATGGTGGCCCCCAGCAGCAGCGGGCACAGGCCGAAGAAGACCATGATAACACCCATGAAGTCGCAGAGGCGGCAGTTAGGGTCCACGACATGCCAGTTGAAGAGGGCGGCATGCTGGGATACCACAATGGCACCAGTGACCAGCAGCCCCAGGAAGTCGGTGAGCACCAAGCCACAGAGGAAGGTGAGGAAAGAGGAACGTGTGTGGGAGCTGCCTTGCCGAGCGCCAGCCAGCACGGTCAGGGCCAGCAGGTTGGAGGTCAGGCCCACCAGGCAGAAGGAGGCAGCAAACCAGGGTGAAGCGATCAGACGCCGCTCCTCCAGTGTGATGTTCATTGGACGGAAGCAGGGCCCCAGGGAGCTGTTGTTCGGCCACATGGTGCCAGAGCCGAGCAGAGAAAGTCACCACCAGCCCATCAGGAAGGAAGGACGAGCTGAAACTGCCTCAGGCACACCTGGGAGACAGAGAGAGGATTTACTGGGAATGTGATGAACTCCTACACATCCTTCAGTGCCCCTGCTCAAAATCCCCTCTTATAAGAAACCTTTCCTGGTTTGCATCAGTTTCCACTTGGGCTGTATTAGTACTACCAGTACTATGATTACTATGACTACTTCTTTTACTACTGAAGATCCCTGGTAGCATAGTGGATTACGCTTTGGGTTACTAACCGCAAGGTCAGCAGTTTGAATCCACCAAGTACTTCACTGGAAAGAGCTGAGGCTTTCTGCTCCCGTAAAGATTTACAGCCTCGGAAACCGTTAACGGACTCGCTATGAGTCCGAATCGACTCCATGGCACACCACCACCACATCTACTACTACTGTTGTTAAGACTCATAGCCTTGTCCAGACTCACAGCGACCCTGTATAGAGTTTCTCATGAGCAACTACCGCTACTGATGTCTCCAGTCTGTCTTGCTCCACAATCAGTTCCCTTCAGCTACTAGGACCAGGCTGATTGCCTCTAGGACCCCTAGAGGCCCCCTGAGGAGCCCTGGGTTTGAACTCCGGTCCTAGTGCTCATGGTATGGCCCCAGCCAAGTAATTTCGTCTCCTTGGGCTTCAGTTTTCCCATCTGTCAACCACCTAAATCCTTAGCAGAAGGCAGCATCTTCAGTCATTGTCAAATACGGCATGTCTGGTTCTAGGAGGTCAGCTGGCTGTCAACCAAAGGTAACGGGCTCCGGGGCAGCCACAAGGGGCAGGATTTTCCGAGAACGTCTTGGGAGGGGCATTGGTGCCTTAGGGAGACCCCAGGGAATGTTCACATCCTTCCTCAAACACGTTGGGATTGTGCGGGTTCCTTTTCCCCATTTGCGCGGACTGTAATTTGTAATGAGACAGAAACCCGAAAGCTCAGTTTTATTTTGGAACAAAAAACAAACAAACAAAATCCTTAATTCATTGGAGTGCTGGGCTCCCCAGGGATGGTTTATAAATGGCAGAGGGAGGGGACTTGTCCCCAGTGTGAGGTTGGAGGAGACATTTGACCCAGTCTGTGACTGTCAGTATGAATCAACTGCAACACGGAATCAAGGCCAGATGTGATGAAATGGGTTAAAAATGAAGCAAGATCATTCAATAAACAGCTCCAATGCCCGAGCAGCTCCAATGCCCAAAAAGGACACACCATGGAGGACCTAGTCCAAAGAGAGGCAGTGATCTGCGTTAGGTCACCCAGGGAGTCGGGGCTGCAGCCCAGCTGTCCTGCCTTTTGACCTGGGCACAAACCACAAGTCATCTTTGGGTCAGCAGAAGGGAACACGGTGAAGGTTAAAGTGGGAAGCAGGACTGGATGGGGCATTGAAGGCTATGTAGGAGTTTGCCAGAACCAAGCAGTAAAAGCTGATGGGCCTACTTTGATCTCCAGATTGCAAAGGGGGAAACCGAGGCACAGAGCAGTTAAAGAACGTGTCCAAGACCACCAAAGTCCAGCAGAAATTGATGTGAGGTTGGCTCTCAGGCTGAGCTAGCTTTAAATATGCATTTGTTGGTGCTGCCCTTGGGCCAATTCTGACACTCAACGACACACCTGTTACAGAGTAGAAATGTGTCATAGGATTCCTTTTGACTGTGGTCTTCAAAGAAACCAGCCACCACTGTGTCTGAGTAGAACTGCTCTCCATTGGGTTTTAGGGGCTGATTTCTTGCTAGTAAACTGCCAGGTCTTTCTTCCTTGGTGCCTTGGTGAGTTTGAACCACCTATCTTTAGGTGAGCTTGTTGTTGTTGTTAGGGGCCATCGAGTTGGTAACGACTCATAGCGAACCTATGTACAACAGAACGAAACAACGTCCGATCCTGGGTCAACCTCACTACTGTTGCCACACTTGAGTCCATCGATGCTGCCACCTGGCCAATCCATCTCATTGGGGGGTCTTTTCTCTGACCCTCCATCTTGCCAAACATGATATCCTTCTCCAGCGACTGGTCCCTCCTGACAATATGTCCGAGGTATGAGAGTCGAAGTTTGACCATCCTGGCCTCCTAGGAGCTCTCTGGCTGTACTTCTTCCAACACAGATCTGGTTGTTCTTTTGGCAGCCCATGGCACTTTCAATATTCTCCTCCAACACCATAACTCAAAGGCATCAATTCTTCTACGGTCTTCCTTATTCACTGTCCAGCTTTCGCATGCATATGAGGTTATTGAAAATACCATGGCCTGGGTCAGGTGCACCTTAGTCCTCAAGCTGACATCTTTGCTCTTCAACACTTTCAAAAGGTCTTGTGCAGCAGATTTGCCTAATGTAATGCATCGTCTGATTTCTTGACTGCTGCTTCCATGAGTGTTGATAGTTGATCCAAGAAGAATGAAGTCCTTGACAACTTCAATCTTTTCTCTGTTGATAAGAATATTGTTTATTGGTCCAGTGGTGAGGATTTTTGTTTTCTTTACATTGAGATGCAATCCATACCGAAGGCTGTGCTCTTTGAGCTTCATCAGTAAATGTTTCAAGTCCTCTTCACTTTCAGCAAGCAAGGTTGTATCATCTTCATATTGCAGGTTGTTAATAAGTCTTCCTCCAATCCTGATGCCATGTTTTTCTTCATAGAACCCAGCTTCTTGGATTATTTGCTCAGCATATAGGTTAAATAAGTATGGTGAAAGAATACAACCTTGTTGCACACCTTTCTTAATTTTAAACCATTCACTGTTCCCATGTTTTGTTCGAACAACTGCCTCTTGATCCATGTGCAGCCTTCCTCATGAACACAATTAAGTATTCAGTAATACTCATACTTCTCAATGTTGTCCATAGCTTGTCATGATCCACACAATCAAAAGCCTTTGCGTAGTCAATAAAGCACAGGTAAACATCCTTCTGGTAGTCTCTGCTTTCAGCCAAGATCCATCAGACATCAGCAATGATTTCCCTCATTCCACATCCTTTTCTGAATCCCTCTTGAATCTCTGGAAGTTCTCTGTCAATGTATGCTTGCAGCTGTTTCTGTATTACCTTTAGTAAAACTTTACTCGCATGGGATATCAAAGACATTGTCCAATGATTTACACATTCCGTTGGGTCACCTGTCTTTGAATGACCACAAATACAAGTGCAAATTATGCCACCCAGAGACTCTACCTGTTGTGAAGTTGTTATGAAATGCCATAGTTGGTTCCAACTCACAGCGGTCTTGTATAGGGTTTCCAAGGAGCATCTGGTGGGTTTAAACCACTGATTTGTGGTCCACAGTCCAGTGCTTATCCTACAGCGCCTACAAATATATATAAATGCTTAACCAGTCAGCTGGGAAGCAAGTGTAGTGGTTGTGGTTGTGGTGTGCCGTGGAGTCAGTTCAGACTCACAGAGACCTTGTGCAGGATTTCCGAGGCTATAAATCTCTGGTAGCGTAGTGGTTACGAATTGGGCTGCGAACCTTAAGGTCAGCGGTTCGAAACTACCAGGCACTCCGCAGGAGAAAGATGAGGCTTTCTGCTCCCATAAAGATTTACACCCTTGGAGACCCTGTACAGGGTCGCTATGAGTCAGAACGGACTCAATGGCACTTAACAACAACAACAACAAAATAAAGAAAGCCTTATCTTTCTCTGTCAGTGAGACTCATAGATTCAAACTGCTGACCTTGTGGTTAACAGCCCAACTCGTAACTTACTACGCTACCAGAGCTCCTTATGAAGAAATTTAGGAGTGATGGTTATGTGCCGTGGAGTCAGTTCTGACTCATAGTGACCCGGCATGGGGTTTCCTAGGCTGTAAATCTTTATGGGAGCAGAAAGCCTCCTCTTTCAACCTCAGAGTGACTGACAGATTCGAACTGCTGACTTTGTGGTTAGCAGCCCAGCTCATAATCCACTATGCTACCAAGGCTCTAAGAAGAAAGTTGTTGTTGTTAAGTACCATTGAGTCGATTCCAATCCATAGCGACCCTGTATAGGGTTTCCGAGGAGCAGCTGGTGAGCTCAAACTGCCGACCTTGCAGTTCAAACGGCTTTGCAGTCTGATGCATTAACCCACAGCGCCACACCAGGACTCTAAGAAGAAAGGAGAAGTGTCTAAAACATTGGTTATGCCCCTGCTCTGAGCCTCGTTTCCCTGCCTGTAAAAATGGTGTGAGGATAGAAAAAGGTTAATCCAGACTTTCGCATACAGTCCAGGTGTGATGCTTTGGGTTAATGTGCTCCACAGCAAGATTGGTTTGAACTGCAAGGTTAGCGGTTCAAGCTCACCAGCTGCTCCTCGGAAACCCTATACAAGGTTGCTATAAGTGGACGGCACTTCACCTAACAAGGCGCTCATTAGAGTCGGTTGGTGGACGGTGGCTGTGTGGAGCCAACCTTCACTCCTTCATTAGCCCTTTGGCTGGGTTTCTTGCTGAGTCTCATCAATTATCCAGATCCTTAGAGCAGCAACCAGCGTCCCTCAAAGCCCAGAGCTAAGGCCACGGTTGGCTCAGTGGAGGCAGAGCCTTAGGTAAGGAAACTGAGGCTCAGAGAGGCTCAGGGTGGGGAATTTGCCATGGTCCTCGGGAGTTTTGACCCAAGACTCTACAGCAACAAAATTATCTTTGCAGCCTCAGATTTGGCCTGTACTTGACTGCTTCCTGGGGCGGGGAGCTCCCTCCTTAGCAAGCAGGTATATGATGTTTCACAACATTTCAGTCAGGCTCGGTTATGCCTTTGGCCAACGCCCGTGAATCCGACCTCATCTCATGGTCCCCTCTTTCCCTCACCTTCAGACACAATTATTCACAATTCTAGAGATACACACACACACACACACACACACAGACACAGAGGTTTTCTTCTGCATTTGATGCCGGGGGACAAACCCTTGGTTTGGGGAAGGCAGAAAGCTGGAAGTTTTCTGGCCACAGACGGCAGTTTCCAGTCACCCCCAACAGGTATAGGTGAT